TGTGTGACTGAATTAACTGAGCTCCAGAGTTATTCGGGGGAAGAAATGTATATAAACTACGAAGGGCGGCTAATTTAGGGTTTTGGGAGGGTTTTCTGGGAAGTTACGGGCTTCTAGAGAGTCCTGAGATCCCGAACCCGTTTCTAGAGAGTTCTGCCACTGGATTAGAAAATATTTTCATTTTCATACTAATTAGTTTTGTCCCGTGCATTTGCACGAAAAGTGATATAATAAAAAAAATAATTAAAAATATAGAATAAAATAAAAATCATGCCTTAATAAATAAGAAAAAATAATTTAAAAAAGTGAATCTAAATATTATTAAATACTTCTTTATATACAACATTCGTTGTTTTCCTATCGTCAGAATCCCCATTACAACAAAGCAGCATTATCGTTAAACCTCTTCAACTCTCGGATTTGATTTTTCAAAATATTTGATGTACATTTTTAATATGCGAAAATATTTTTTTATTATTGCATGAGTGCAATAGAAAATAGAGATTATTGTAATCATTCTTAATTAATTGCAAAATATGTATTTGTACAATATAAAAAAAATATATAGTATCAAAATAAAAACAAAAATATTTTATATTTCAGGACATTAAAAGACATTACAAAAATGGCCACCATCTAAAATGGGAACCGTGAAAATAAATTGTGTAATTAAATGTTACATATCTATCTATATATATATATATAATAAGAATTACTATTTACTAAATATAGTAACTAAAAATTTTTAGACAACATTTATTGCATACGATATTAGGATATTTGTTTTATATGCAGAAAAAGAATGAGCATTTAAATCAACAGACGGAGCATTTAAAACATCCTAAAATTTTGTATATACAATCTAATCAGCATATAATTAGTTCCTAAAATGTTGGATAAACAATACAGTAATTTAGGATTTTTTTAACATGATATCTATAATTAGTTCCTAAAATAAATGCTATACAATATTAATTTATGATTTTTTTTTAAACATGATGTATATCGCATCACGTTGATAAATTTTTTTTTTTTTTAGCATGATATCAGATTGCATCATAATGGTATATACCTATTATGTACGAGATTTTGAAGGGATTAGGAATTTGAATTCTTTTCACAAGTTAAAAATTTAAATCTATTTTATTTGAAATTTCAAATGTATGGATTTATAAAAAGATAGATTATTGCTTTATCTTCAATATTAATTTAGAAATTTATTTTTTTAACATCTGTAATATCTATATCTATATCTATATAATAAGAATAACCATTTACAAAAAATAGTAGCAAAAAAATTGGGAGAATTTAATGCATACCATTTTTTGGAAAACTTTTTAAATATATGCATTAATTACTTCTATATACACTTTTTCAAATAAGATCAAATCAGATAAGATCAAAAATATTGTTTTCTTAAATAATTTTATTAATATCTGCAATAATTTCATTGATATTCATTATTATAATTTTATGTTCTAACCATAATATTAATTTTTTTTACAAATATTAACTTTTTATTCAAAAAATATTTATAAAAAATTGTAACATGTTTATTCTTCAAATTAAAATAATTTAACATTTAGGAGATAATGACTATATAAATTAAATAGTTTTACCAATGGTAAAAAATTAAAATTAAAATATATTAAATATTTTTTAGAATTTATTTCTATATTATTGACAACCATGATTATATTTTTTATTATTTTTTTATTTTAATTTCTTTCTATAATGAAATTATTGTAAAATATATTTTCATTGATGAGTATACTAAATAAAACTATAAATCCTTATAATGTAAATTTGAAAAATCTTGATTATAGAAGGGATTGAGTTTTTGACATTTCGTAAATCAAAGTTGTTTAATTAGTATACAAAATTAAATTAAAAAAAAAAACATGTGTGTATATTTTGTAAAGTATTTATACACTATTTAATTTTAAATCCATTTACATATTTTAAATTGATTACATAAATAAATAATACTAACGTGCATTAAATATAAATTTTTTATATATAAATTGATTACATATTTTGAAATGAATGGCAAAGGGAATAAAAATATTTTGTCTCCAATGGTTAATGTCAATTGTGGAATAATTTGACACATGTAAGATAATAATTGGTTAGTGAAGAAAAAAAAATATTTAGACATGTTCTATTTTATATTATATCATTTATCTATTTTTCTACCTATAGAAAGACTTCTACATTTTTTAAATGCTACATTGGATTTTTGGAGCTAGCTGACAATGAAATAGAGCAATCCATTTACAATTGGAGATGCTCTAAAACTGTTATTTTCTCTTATATCAATTAATAAATATATATACTAAAATCAAATTTATATTACTATAAATGTGTTAGTAAGATAATATATTAATTATTTTACAAGTTATCCATAACATGCTCATATTTAATGTTCTGCTTAAAAAATGTCGATTAAAAGAGGTGGAAATGGATTATAATCCTATTGTTTAAAAGAGGTGGAATATAAATTATAATCCTATTATTTTCTACACTTAACGCTGATTAAAGAGGTGAAAAATAAATGATAACCCTATTGCTTTTTAGACTTAAACGGACAGAGCATGTGAAAAAAACTCATTTAATACATTCCTCCTGTGCATCGCACGGGGTACGTACTAGTTATTATTAAAGGGGTGAACATATTTTTATTAAATGAACCCGCATTATTATTAATTGTTGGCTGAATAAAATTTATTGAAGCTTGTCAACAATTATATATTTTTAAACTTATATTTTCTTAAAATATATATTTTTTACAGTTGTATATTGTCGCACCTGGGTTCATTTAATTTTATGTATGTCATTGGATAAAATATATATTAATTCGCCTAGATTGACCAAATAAAATGGTACTTTTTTTCTTATACATGAAAATTAAATGGTGTTTCAATGTGGAATTCATACTATTATAGTTAAAAAATTTGTTTTTGTAAAAGTTAATATTTTAGGACTAACAATTAATCCGTCATATCACTCAAGAATTTGTAATTCTTTTTATCTACCATATAAAACCGAGTGAAATAGAAACTTGTAAAAAATTAAAAAATGTCATTCATGGTTTTCGATATGCACAAGCGTAGGCGATGTGCCTCCTTTTTTTATTTTTTTCTTATAGAGGCAATCAAGAAAGTTGCATAAGTGAAAGTATAAGCTACAGAAAAATGAGTTAATCCAGCCAATCTTGAGGGTTTCAAACCTGTAATCCTAATGTCTCTTTCTTTTTGTAAGCTTTCGGATTGGGTTTTTAAAGAAGGCGACATGATCGAGTTCATTCAAGTGATCGTGCACACTAAGACAGTTCAGACGAACTTGTCATAGACCAAGGTTTATACGAGTCGAGTGTTAAAAGTTGCATGCGCTCCTCAGCGCTAGATTTGCAATTATAATTGCTAATTAATTAATCTGTTGTCGCTTTTTATAAATCCCTTACACAGTGTTTGGTTCGGGGGAAAGTGAGGGGAGGGGAAGGGAGGAGAGGTAATTTTATAATTTTTCCTTGTTTGGTTCAATTTTTTGTGGGGGGAGGGATTGATATTTTCCCTTCAAATCCCTCTTACAAGGGAAAATCTCCTCCCCTCCAAAAGTGGGAAAATTTGGAGGGGAGGAAAAATTTATCACATACAATTACTATATTATTCTTCATATGTAAATTATTTTATTATTTTCTTTCTTACATCATTAAGGATATAATTGTCATTTCTACAATATTTTCTTTCCCATCCCTTATTCTAACCAAACAAGGTTTACCATTTTCCTTCCCCTCCCCTCCTATAAATTCCTCCAAACAAGGTAAAATTATTTTATATCACCTCCCATCCCTTCCCCTTCCTTCCATTAAAATCCCTCCCCTCCCCTCCCCTCCACTAAGTTGAACCAAACATAGCCTTAGTGCAATGGCCAAATCGAGAACAATCCTATTATTATATGGGATACCGGCCCTCAATTCAACGAGAAGGAATTAGCCCCACACTCGGTGCCTTCCCTAAGCAAGCAACTAGTAGATGCTTCGTCTATTCTCAATATTATAAATATAATTAAATAATATGATTCAATCATCCTTACAGATCACATCAACTTTAATTCACTATTCATCCACTCACATATTTTTAGCTACCTATCATTTACAATAATTTATTTCCTGTTGATACCCAATTTGGCTACGATAAATAAAATAATAAAGAATAATAAACGGCCCGATAATGAATGAGCTGAAAATACATGTTAAATAAATATAAAAATAGTAGGTTCTCCGAACTGATAATTTAATATCAACCGAGTTCCCAAACGTCAACATCGTCCGCATTCGAGACGAGTAGAAATTAATATCACCAGCCTGACACGAATACAGTAAATAAGCCATCTTCCGAAGACGCACGCTAGCTAGCGACAAAACATGCATCCATCATAGGTGTCAATCAATATTATTGGACCATGCGCGGTCACCTCACATTTAATGCAAATGTGCTATTTGTCTCTTATATTATTTTATTAACGCTGACTTGTTAGCCCTATATATATATGAGGGCTCAATTATTATAGGGGAAAAGGGAGACTATTCATTCATAACCTACAACAAAAACCAAGAAAACATGAGAGAAAAATTCAATAAAAATGCACTTTGATTCAAGACCAATGATTCATTAAAATAGGGTGTATTTTGACGCTGATACAATTTCGCATATCAACATCTCCTACTTTTACATCAAATCGATTTTACTCATTTATTGTAAATTTTATTTGTATACAAACTTAAAATCCAACTAACAACTAATCATACTCACCTTTTTCAAATAAACTCTAGTTAACAAAAAAAAACTTTACTGATTAATTAGTAAACAAGCAGGCCCTTACTCTTTTATACTTGTGAATATTTTATCAAGCAATCCTTTTATACTTCTCAATTCCAGAAAAAAAAGATTCAACCTAAAAAAAGAGTTATTGAACCACAGGACAAATACCACAAATATCCAGAATTAGGCTTTCATAAGCAAGCAACATTATATTGACAATTTGTTGCCAAAATAAAGCAATTATCCACATAAAACCTGCTTCATAAGGCAACAGATTCACAGTTTTTGTTGCCAAAACAAAACAAATAATAATCTATCCACCTGAAGAATCAGGCTCCATAACCAAAACATATGCACAGTTTTGTTGCCAAAAAACAAAGCAATTCAAGGTCACTTCATTGGAATTCAACTAAAGAAAAAACCAAATTTTTACTTTGCAGTGGCTAAAGAGAGGAACTCCTCACAGTCTTTGGCTCCGGTGCTCGTGAACGCGTTAATCAGAGTCCTAACAAACTCTCTTAGGTTGTTCTTGAAATGATCGGAGCAGCCCACGTTGGCTTTGCCGGTTTCTTGATGGCCATCGCCGCTCTCGACTAGCGAGCCCACGCGGGCCCCATTCAAGTAGGCCTTGCACGAGGACAAGATTTTCTGCGCGTGACCGACAAAATGCTCGACTACAAGCGGCTCAAAATGCTGCCCAAAAAAGATTAATAAGAATAAGAATAATATTAGAAATTGACATGCACGTCGAGTTAGGTAGGATCGTATGTTAAAAATACAAATAAATCGGCAGGTCTCGTGTTAGGTGGGCCAAACCATTAGGCTGACATTTTTTTTCTTTTTTCACAAAAATGCATACTTTTCATTAGAAAATATCATACATTAAAAAAATCATAAACAGAAATACGACATTTGATACTATAAGTATGCATTTTTTGTTCAAAAAGTATGACTAATCGACACGCCTAACGGCTAGGCCGCCTCACGTAAGAATTTGTGCAAATCAGTGTAACAATTGGACGGATCGACCCATCATTTTTTTTTAAACAGAAGTGCGTACTTTTGCTATGAAATGTTGTACTCCCTCCTATTTTTATTATTTGTCATCCTAGCTATCAACACACTAATTAAGAAAATTTTTTCTTACCAATTTTAACCCTATTTAATGAAAATTATTAATCTGTCTATAACTCCATTAAATAACACAATTAATGATGATTAGCACTCCGGAAAAAGTAAATTAAGATTCTGTGGAAGAAAAGGAAAAAAAAGTAACTTTATTTCTTGAACACCTCACAAATTTGGACCAAACAGAAAAGAAGCTTGGAATAATGGCAGATGTTCTTGGAAATATGAAAAGACACTGGTTATTGATGGAGGGGTTAAAAATGGAAAAATATGAACAAAATAGCCAAAACGATATGTACTTAACAAATGATCAATTAAGCCAGAATGACAAATAATAAAAAATAGGAGGGAGTATTATTGTTTATGTTCAGTTTGAAGGTCGAACAATATATTTGGAGCATATAGGTGTGTTTTTGCAGCAAACCCCAAAAGAAATAATGTCTTGAGTTCTTAAAACGGCATTACTTAANATAATAATAATAATAATAATAATAATAATAATAATAATAATTTGATCTTTTTTACCAATGGAGGCTTGTTCATGGAGTACACCATTGTCTTGAGGGAGTAAATGAATAATAATAATAATAATAATAATTTGATCTTTTTTACCATTGGAGGCTTGTTCATGGAGTACACCATTGTCTTGAGGGAGTAAATGAATGTCGTCTCACTATATTTCAAAGATGCCTCGTCACCATAATTTGTGCCCTTTGAACTTGCATATCCGGGCTCGTTGAAGTAGGGCTCGGTGTTTAGAACCAACCCTTGGATCGAGACCAAGACTTGCAGTAGAGTCGAGCCTCCTTTCATCCACAATTCGTTCCCTATTCCACTCCAAGTGTTGAGGAGGCTCAAACATACGTAACCATTTGCGTATAGGTTGGGATTCAGGCGAAGCCCACCTGAATGGTAATAGACTTTCTGCCCAACAATAAAACCGACACCATAAGGCTATAAGTTAAAAGGGCGATTGAATATAGATTGTACAGTAAAAAAGCCAATCAAAACTCAAATTTAACTCAGCTCCACTATCTCTAATATTATCAATATAATTAAATAATATCAACCAATCATTCTTACACATCACATCAACTTTAGTTATAATTAAATAATATCAACCAATCATTCTTACACATCACATCAATTTTAATTCACTATTCATCCACTCACATAATTTAACTAACCATCACTTCCAATCATTTTCTCCTACTTTTACATCACATAAACACTAATTATTTTATTTTAAATATTATTTTAATATATCCATTAACAACTAACCATATCACATTTTTTCAAATTTAACTATAGTTAAAAAAAATTATTTTTAACTAATTTTTTACTAGTTGAATTCATATCCAATCACCCCTATGTAATTTATTTATAGCTCGAAATTTGACGATTTTTTTTTTTTTAAAAAAAACTTACGGGAGGTGCATCTGGATAATTGTTCGGCAAGTGAAGATCGAAGAAAAAGAGGCCATCGTGGTACGGTGTGCCCTCGGCTCCTACAATCACAGCCCTCAGAAGATCCATTCTTGATTCGTAAACCCTCACGAATATTGCATCTGTTAATAATGAGTAACATTAAATTCGAAAAGGACAAAAATAAAATAAAATAAAATAAAATAAATCATCGTCATGCCATTTTCAGCACAGCTTGAAAATACATGAATCAATACCAATCGAGGATTTATCAGAGCATAACTTTTGCATTTCATACAGCCAATGCATCTTCATATAAAGCATAATCGGAGAAAAAATTATTTTAGAAAGGAAAATTTTGTAGAATTAGAAACTTAAGGATTACCTGGTAAGTGTTCCTCCAGAATCTTCCACTCTTCCTGTATTCTCTTGGCCCATTTCTGGTTCACCCGACAAAAAGACGACAGTAATTGGAGCTTGGACAAAATTATGAGAAACCCAGACAATTCATTGAAATACATAAAAGTTAAAACCCATCGAGGCATTAAAAGTTCCTCTTTGAGGTTTGTAAAACCCATCCATGAGAAATTCCACTGCAACATGCCCAGATATATTCAACACAATAGGGTAATCTATATATATATGTCTATATATACTACTCATAGAAAAGGAACGAAAAACGGGTAAGAAGAACAAGACTTTCTACTACTAATATGTACTCACTGTTTTTGTAGAACTATTAGAACTGGCATAGTGGTGGTCCGAGCAGTCTTCGACAGTATCAAATTTCTTAAAGTTCAAAACATTTGCCTTTTTCTCATCCGAAGGTTCACCACTTTGATTATCGACATCCAAAATTTCCATAGTTTCCTACAGGACAGGAAAAAAGAAAAAAAGAAAAGAAAAAGGAACAGGTTCATTCTACTACATGGCTGAATCAAAAATGGCAGCACGAACACGATGATCCCCTCTATATATAATTTCAGAATGAGTTGAACCTACGTAGCAAACTCTCATGCTTCGGAATTCTATTTGGCAAAAAATCATGCTTTGGAGTTAGACTTAGATATAAATTAATATTTGTATTAATTATATTTTAATTTTAATATCATTTCCTATTATAACAATTGAATTGCAAATATATTTTAAAAGTTGATAACTTTTATATTTCTTATCGGTTTTGCATATATAATATATCAAATTAATCATTTTTTATGAGCTTCGATTTGACATCCATATTGTATATATAAAATAAATAAATTATATTTATCTTTATAATAATATAATTATTTATTAAAATTAATTAGAAAATAATTTAGAATGGGATGTCGAGTAGGAGAGTATGCGTTTCGGATAGGCTCGCTTATCAATTAATATATTTATGTTTAATGTAGTTATATGTTATAAGGTTGAAAATTTATTATATTATAACACATATAAGTCGCACAAGTAACGCGTGTCATACTAAAATATTTAATAATATATACTCTCTTCTATTTTTATTATTTGTCACTTTGGCTTAATTGATCAATGATAAAATAAATGTCGTTTTAGATATTTTGTTCATATTTTTCTATTTTTAACCTTCTATCTAATACACAATGTCTCTTCATATCCCATCTCCAACATTTCCCATAACATCCATTAAATAGGGTTAATATTGTCAAGAGAAAAAAAATCTTAATTAGTGTGTTGCATTTGAATTGATATTATGAACTCTATTTGTATTTTACTATTTATATACATATATATATATATATATAATACAAAACAGTTATAAATAAAATTTAAAATTATTTATCAAACTAAATTAAATTATATCAAATAAAACTATAAATTATATTATAAAGTAATAGAAATTGGTATGTATTCTTTTAAAAATGATATTTATTTCAAATCTAATTGGTATGTTGTCAATGTAATAAAAATAAATAATTATTTATATAAATTCTAAAATTACATATAAATTTAAAAAACTGTGAAACACGTACGATTGATACGACACTTGATGTATTAGGCATCTAATTAAGTAAATCTATTTTGCTTAATATTAAATAAACATATTCTACACTTATGCATATACATATCACCATATTATTTCTATTTATTTAAGATATATATTTTTGTACTTATGTAATAGTAAATAATATCGATATCATTATATGATATAAGTAAAAAAATTCAACACGGGTTGACATTTTCATTTAATGTATGGGTGTTTAATTATTATGATTAAAAAAATATAATTTGACAATTTAATTAAAACCCAAAGTAATGTTTTATATAAAATTAAATTATTTTAGTTTTTAAAAAAATAAAAAATTTAATATTTTTTACAAAAGCTTTCTAATTCAACACCCGTGTAATACACGAGAATTGTACTAGTATTCACATTGAAAGAGTATTAACAAAGAGATAAATGTGTTAAGTTGGAATTCGGAAGTACATACCTTGCCTTTGCCTTTAACGTCAGCTTGCTCATCAATCTTCAAACATATATAATGCATTGGAGGTTATGAAGCTTTTGGTGGGAAAAACTTTGACATGATAATTACACTTGAAAAAAAAAATGGAAGGGAACAAATAGATGATAGACAATGACGAGATACGAGAAGCTAGTTAATAATAATTTTTTCTGATCCAACAACTTTTTTTCCAATTACTAAAATTCATGAAGCCGAGTCACAAATAATTACTTGTGCAATATCAAGCAGGACGAGTAAAATTTTCGTAAAAATTCTAGGAAAATCGAGGTCTTGGATGAGTCGAGCCAAATCCATGGCCTACTCCATGAAGAGAGAATTTGGCCTCGAGACGCAACCCAACTCAATTGAGGGTTCCAAAACAATGCATGTACTACTAGAAACAGCACACCTACAAAATTGACTAAATATGCAATACATATTCACATCACAAAAAAATAAATGGTAAATTAATAAAATTGACTTTGAGTTATTTTACGATTTCATCAAGTCCCAGTATAGTTATTAAAAAGCAGAACTAGCTTGCATAATGATCGAAATTAACTACTTCTCCCCTAAGCAGAAAAGAAATACAACTTTTTTTCGTGATCACTCAATCATCATCACACACATATAGCAAGACTTAAAAATAGCATGCCGTTATGAACTAGACTTCAGATTAGACCAACTTAAACAACATGGAAAACATATGAATATAATTAATTTTCAATTTTCAAATCTGAAGCAGAGGAAAAGTGAGAGTAAAACATATTCGAAACCCATCTATGAGAAATTCCACTGCAACATACCCACCGAGATATATTCGAAACCAACCCAAAAGAGTAATTTATAAATATATATTATCTACTCATTAAAAACGGAACCGAAAAGGGTAAGAAAAAGTCTTTCTAAGATGTACTCACTTTTTCTGTAGAACTATTAACATTTGTCTTTTCCTCATCCGAAGGTCCACCATTTTGATTATCGACATCCGAAATTTCCATAATTTCCTACAGGACAGGAAAAAA